GCTTTGCCATTTTTTGGAAATTTTAAATCTACAACTGAAACAGTTTCGTTTATTTCCTTCAATTATTCCTCCTATAATATTAAAGAATAATATTTATATTTTTATGCATATAACAAATAAAAAACTGAAATAACTATTTACTTATTTCATTGCCGATGTAAATAATTCTACTTATTAATTCTTTCGGATATTCAACTTTTTGTTTTTCTAACAATTCAATTTTATATCCAATTAAATTAATTTCTGTCCAATAACTTGACAAAAGTTTGTTTTTATAAGATTCTATACTTTCTTCAATTGAACTAAAATTATTTTCATTCTTGTACAATATTGAAGTTGAATAACAATTATTATTTTCAATAAAAGTATTTCGGAGTACCTTAAATTTAACAAATTATAGTAGTTATAGCGGCCGACTTTTTTTGTTTGATAGTAAGTTGTTAAACTAAGGAATGGAAATTCTATTAAAAAATATACCATTTTTTCAAACGCAGGCAAAAAATTTTGAATTATTTCATTATTAGTAATTTCAATCAAAATTTTCTTTTTTAATTGATCGGTTGGAATATATTTTGATCTATCACTTAGTTCGACCTCAAACACATTTTTATCTAGATTTAGGTCAATTGAACGCAAATATCCTTCTATATTTTTATTAAAGCCATCACGTTGATTATTTGTCTTTTCAATTGCTTTCACTACAAAACGATCCTTTATTTCAACATTTTTTAAATAGACAAATTCTCTTTTTTCTTTCCAATCATCTATAATTTTCACTTCAACACGAATGAGTTTCGCAGCGCATTGAATTTTCAAAAATATAATTAAATATATGAGTATGATAAAATTAAATTTAATCATCTGAAATTTCAAAATTAAATGCTACTTTTTTGTTGTTTTTTTTTCTTTGAAAAAATGATGGCCTACTTTTTAATTCTTGATTATCTCTAAAATTCATTAAGCAACCTACCTCAAAATTCTTGATTATATTTGTTCCTTATTTAATTCTCTATCTTATAATCATTAATTGATCTCAATATTCTTAATATGAAAAAGTTATGATGGGAGGAATAGTGTGCAATAACATTCTGGTCAGGGCTGTGCGTCATGGCGTTTGGCGTTTTGCGTTTTGGCGTTAATTTTGGCCGATTTTTGGCGTTTTGCGTTTGGCGTGATTTTCCGATTTTGGCGCGCCAAACGCCAAAAATATACACCCCTAATGATGGAATTTTTTAAAAATAAATGGAGAAAGGGATGATCGAAAAAGGAAATTTTTCTGCGTACAGTCATCCAAAATTCTCAAAATTTTCGCCTGCGGCGCATAAAAAATGAAGAAATATGCTGCTTGGACTTCCAAAATTTTCGAAATTTTCGCCTGCGGCGCTTAAAGGAGGAAGCCCTTATCTTAAACTAATAGATGGTAGAAAAAAACTTTAGTCCCGTTAATCGTTTACTCTCTTCATGACCTCTGTTATACTCATTACTCCCTTTATCCCTTCATATCCACCTTAATCTCAAGGAGTTCTATGAATTTCTTATCTTTTAAAATTTTTTAAAGGATGAATTTCGGCTTTTTTGCCTCCAAAATTCTCAAAAATTTCACTCAGGCGTTAAAAAAAGGATGAATCTGGCTTCTGGGAATCTTGAAAATTAAAAAAATTTCGCCTGCGGCGCTAAAGTGAGATGAACAGTGATTTTTAAGTCTTTATAGACTCTAAAAATTTTGGCTTTTGGCGTTTTGGCGTTGATTTTGGCCGATTTTTGGCGTTTGGCGTGTTTTTAAAATTTAAAAAATTGGCGTTTGGCGTTTGGCGCGCCACGCGAAAATTTTGGCGCACAGCCCTGATTCTGGTCACCATGAGGAAAAGGTGACATAAATATTAATCTATCTGGGCCCTCCAAGATTGTTTTAACAATTTTGTTTTAAAAGGATAATTAAATTAAACGACAAAAATAAAAAATATGTATAAATTAAAAGCGGAGATTTTGTCTAAAATTACTTTAACTCTTCCGAATACAGTATTCATTACGCGTAAAATGTCCGTGATTAAGAAAAATATATTTAAATTTGATAGAAATTTTTATACATATTAATATTTATCCGCATACAAAACATGCATTTGCATGTTCTTGAGTCCCTAATTTAACATGTATAAGTTTAATAATTCAAAATCCGAAGACTATTGTGTATTAATTAATAGAAATATTATAAATTTTATTTTTATTATTATTATGATTAAATAATTAAATATTTTGTCTCATTTATGTTAATGACATTGTATTGACTCGACATTAACTAAGGTACAAAATGGTATAAAATAATTTAGAAATTTGCACTTTTTCCAGTTGACGCGGCTAATATAATTGATAAACAAAATTAATTTTTGAGCAATTTTGTAATTTTTTCTACCAGCTTTATGTCCTTATATTTCATTAGAATTTAAAAATGAGACATTTATTCATAAAGTCTCAATCATTTTTAAATAATTTTAAATTTTATGATGAAATTTGAAATTGGGAATTTAACTAGAAAACAAAAAATATAAAAATAAATAAAACAAAATTTCAAAAATTTTTTCTAAATAAAAATTTCTGTAGTTTTAATTTCTACTTGTGCCATCTCTTCAGCACTTTGTGCCTCTATTTGATGTACATCATGTAATTGGAGAGAAGCAGAAGAATTACTCATATCAGAACCTCTTCTGTGTGAATGGTGTGTTCCACTTGGGAAAGAAATTCCTCCTCCAAAAACTTCGGAACTTGAACGTTGAATACAATCTTCTGATGAACGCCTAAATTAAAAATAAATATTTAAAAAGGGGAGGAAAGACAGTAGAGATGTCCAAGAACGAAAATTTTCCACGACTAGAGACTCGACACCAAGACCCAAGAAAAGTCTTGACTCAAGACCAAGAGATTTGGACATCTCGAACAGCTAGGTAAAGGAATAGCCACCCTTAATTCTTATGCTAAATTGGAAAAATTAGTATAGTGAGACCCTTCTATTACGAAAGATTTTCACTCCAACGACAGATCAGTTCGCTTGACCTTTGCCTATAAGAACTTCCCGTATGAAAATAATTATTAAAAATAAATTAAAACCCCCAATTAAAAATAAATTATATTTAAAAATTGCCATAAAACTTTTTAGTGTCAATAAAAAGATCTACTCATCCAGAGTCATAATACTATGTACACATAGTACATAAATAATACCGGACCATTAGTTCCATATTTTTTAATACAGTATTTATTAATACCCTGGAAGAGGGTTGAAAATAAAACGACATGTCGTTAGGTTAGAATAAATACGGTACATTATTTGCTATCCTACCTCGAAACAAGTAGGGCTACATAATACCAGTGGCCCTAATGACCGTTTTCCAAAATTAATTAGGTTTAGGACTCCATTAGTTCTCAAAATTTCCAATTACCTAAAAGTCGTTTCCCCTCCTGCCGAAATAGAAATTGAATTTCTTTCGCGAAAATTTGGCGGACTGTTGGCCAAATCTTCCACAACAATTTGAGGCTTTTTTGATGAATGGCGCCTACCTAATGGTGGACTAAAAAAATTTTTTTTTTAAATAATTCCAACATAAAAATTTACATTAAAGCAGAGAGACTTTCAAGGCGAGATCTCTTTCTATAACTAAATTCTCTGCTACAATTTTCTTTTTTTGGCAATTTTTGTTGTTCTTTAACCTCCTCATTTTTATTATTTTTTAATAATTTTATATTTTTCTTTATTTTTATTTTAAAAGAATTATTTTGAGAATTTAATTGTTTTTGTTGATTTAATTCCCTTTCGATAGCTGTTATATTAGAATTATTATTGTTACTTTTTTGTTGACTATTTTCATTATTCATTTCATTTTTTTTTGAAAATCGTCGTTTTATTCTTTCAGAATTTGTTGGTCTTCGAGGTGGAAGCATCCAACTCTTTCTTCTACAACTTCTTTTTAGTCCAAGTAAACGCCAAAAAGTTATTCGAAATTTCTAAAAATTATTTTTTAGTTTAAAATCCATGGGTCGAAAAATCCTCATTTTCAGACACACCCTTGGGGCTGAAGAGATCGTACAATATAATACGAGGTACATTAAATGGGAGAAGGGGAGGTAATGTAATAATATAGGCTACAAATACCTACACTTCCCCTCCTTCTCTCTGAATTTAAATTGAGGTGGGGGGACCCTCTGACCATAAAAGAACATAACATTTAATTTAGACAGGTAATAAATGGGGGAGGGGGGATAAGATGCAATAATTTAGGATACAAAACCCCTATACCCCCCTCTCTATATTTTAAATTGTGGACCCTCTGGCCATTATGAAACAGGTAACAGTAATGCACCTAAAGGTATCTTACATTCAGTGAATCTAATATTGGGGGTACCTAAGAAAGTTAAAATTTATATTTATCGGTTTCATACTTTATTTATTGCAGAATAAATAAAAAAATTCAAAGAAGAATTTAAATAGCCAAGTGCACTAAGCCAATGAAATATATATTCTGTATCATGCATCCATTGATCAGTATAGAGTTTATATATTTTGTATATATTCATTGAAAAATATGGAGCCCAACAAATTAAAAATACACCTTAAACGATAATTAGGCATTTAATAAAAATTTTTGCGGACAAAATTTTGCGGATAAGATTTGCGGATAAAATGTGTGGAGGAGAATATGTAGTAGTGTTAGTCACGAGACGATATATCGACGATATTTTTCGAGATATCGCGAGATTTTTTTCGAGATTATCGATCTCGATCTCGTCTCGATTAATTTTTGAAAAAATCGAGATTTTTCGATATCGAGATTTTTCGATAATCTCGATCTCGATCTCGAAAAATCGCAAATGACTAACACTAATATGTAGGGTAGTCCGAGGTATATAATCCGATGATAGTAATATTGGGATACTTCTAAAATCGTATTTAAATTTTAGAAGGAAAACGGTTAGCATTATATTGGTCCGCAAAACTTGTCCGCAAAAGATTACATACCCATCACAGTAGCTACCAGTTTTGTCGCACGAGTTTCCCGTCTAATGGCTAATCCTTGTTTTGATCTCAATTTTGCGATTAAATCTTTAAAATTAAATATTATAATCTAAGAGATAATCTCCAACCAAGTGCCCAATCCTTCAATCCAGCCAATTTTTTTCTGGCCATATAAACAGAATCTCTTCTTGCAAATTGAATCATTTGGCCTATAGAGGGATGTGTTGGTCTATCCCATCCAGAAATTAACTCAGAAAGTCGTCTCATTCTTCTTCTGTTATCCTTCAATAATTTTTATTTTGATACGGAATTTTGCTTTTAATTAGCTTATGAAAAGGAGAGAGGATTTTCTTGCGGACATTCGTGCATATTTTCCACAAGTCAATTTCTGATTTTTCATACAGTACTTCCCAACGTAGAGCCCAACCTTGAAGCCTATTTTTGCGATTAATCTTTCCTTTAAAAAGGTCGCGGAGATATTTTGTATTTTGTGGACTCTTTCTTGCATAGAACGCTTTGATAAAAGTCCGCAAAAATTGTCCGCAAGAAGAGTCCGCAAAAATTGTCCCAAGAAAGTCGTCTCATTCTTCTTCTGTTATCCTTAAAGTGCTTCCGTTTAAGATTACCTTATCTTCTGGAAATAGTAACGAATTTCTTCCAGAAATTTTATTCTTTTGACCGGGTGGTTGATAAGAATGTCTTCGGCGTTGCATTTTAAGCTTCAAAGCATGCGAAGAATTTATAGCATTCCCATTTTTATTTTCCTTCCCAATATTTGTATTTATTTGGGATCCGTTTAAGACGACCTCTGAATGTCTTCTTCTTTTTGTGGCTGTAAATTGTTGTGGAACTCCAAGTAAATTATTAGTAGTTAGAAAGCGGGATTCTAATTCTTTAAAAAAATTTTTCTATGATTTTAACATTTATGTAGGTATATTAAAAAATATTATCTAGTAAGGATCTCAATATAAAATCACACCACAATTTAAGTTGTTTTTTTAAATTTAATTAGCCACTAACAAATAAGCGGGAATCAGTGCTTCGAGATTTTGGTACGAGCTTCGAAGCACCAGGTGGGATTGGACAATGGTTAGGCATCGATCTTAGGACTTGTTTGAAGCCTAAGAATTTTATTGGAGCTTAGGCTTTGATTGGAGCCCATACATATAAGATTCACTTCATTATAAGGTATAATATTATCAGCCTCGAAGGAGAAACTTATTGTAAGGTCTGACTATAGTAGGTGTATGTTTATTCTAGGATCTGTTTTTTCAAAAATGAAATACTGATCAACCATTACTATTCAACCAACAATATTTTTAATAATTTTAAAATTCGAACCACAAATATTCAATTTAGTTTTTTGATAAGTCTCAGTTTCATTAGGCGGAACAGTTATTGCATCCAATAAAATAGAAGGTGGTCTACTATTTATTGAATTAATACTGCTCAGATCATCACAATCAATTGAAGTTTCGATTGATGAACGAAATAATATTTTTGGTCGGTCTTCTTTTGTGTTGTTACTGTTATTACTTGAATTTTGGCCAGAGCCTGAACTTGTTGCTTGGAGGATATGTTGAAGCTTTAAAGGCGAATTATTTAAAATAATCTAATTGGGAGGAACATGCAATATAGGAGGTCATTCATGATTGAACTTAAATTTCATTGTATCACTATTAATAGGAATCAGAAGGATACGTCTTATAAATAAAAATTTGGTTGGTCACTAGTTTGAGGCGCTGTCTAAACTATAACTCCAATTTAAGATACACTCCATTATAGGATAAAAATTTTCAACCCATGGTGGTTCCTATAATGAAGTCCGTTTTTAGATATTTCAGAGTTGGGGAATCACGACCTAAAAAATGTCGTGAACTCCTTATTTTCGAAGATAGTTACAATGGAATCCATCATCGTTATCAAAAAATAATCAAAAATAAAATTAAATAACCTATCCATACTAATTAACAATAAATGAATTATCTAAAAAATTCTTTGGGTTTCTAAAGTGTGTGTGCTATCTAAACGATACCCTTATCAAAGATAAGACACAGCACAATATAAAATTTTCAACCCAAAAGATGGTTTTATCCAATTTATCATTTAGAAAGAAAATTTAATAACCTATCCATACTAATTAACAATAAATGAATAATCGAAGAAGTTGAGGCAAGAACATCAAGTACACAATACATATAACAAATAGTTATAGATAAATGCCAATGAAGTGAATTAACCTTTTTTAAAAATTTTTTAAAAATTTCCAAAAAAATAATTTACAGTCATATAAATATGGAAAGGCATAACCATTGTGCCGACCATTAAATCAGCACAGGCAAGACTTAATAACAAATAATTGGTAGGAGTTTGAAGTGATTTGTTTGAAAGAACGGCAGCTACAACAAGGGTGTTACCTTTCGATGTTTAAAAAATTTTTTGAGATTTTTATTTTAATATTCATATACCAATAATACAAGAAATAGGCATAGCAACAAGTATAAGCCAAAACCTATTTTAAGAAAAAAATAAATTGGAGATAATTATTTAATATTTTTTAAATATGGACACATTGCGGACAAACATTTGCTGACATTTAAAAACCAGATATATTAAGTGAAATCTCTAATAGAATGCCATCTCTCCATGTGAATGGCCTCTAATTGAATGGCTCTTTAGAAGGTGATTGAAAATAAAAGACTGGGTGCTAGAGACGTGCGAGACTTATTTTTCAAACCCTCAAAAAATTCAAGAGCAAGACTTCACCCCAAGACCAAGACCGAAAAAAACCCAAGAAAAGTCTTGAATCAAGACTCAGAGCCAGGAGTATCAGACGCCTCTACTGAGTGCCATTAGCAGCTGTCTTAATCCAATGTATCTATGCAAGAATACATGGGACATTACTATCTTTATGTACAATTAGAATTTGAACACCGGCCAGGCTCTATCAGAATTTTCAGGGGTTGGCCTGACCCTGACATTTCAAAAATATAGGTTCACAGGTTTTCATGATCTTAGCCGAAAAATCGGCCCTTCAATTACCCAAATATATGTAGAAAAGCATCGTCCCTATAATTATGTGTCATCCGCAAATATTGTCCGCAAATGTTTCTCCTCAAATTAATTTTCCCATTACCATTGAGGTTGAAAATCTACATCATTTCCGTTGAACTCAACAAGGGAATGTTTATAAGAATTATTAGCTAAATTAAGATCCTTAAAGTTTGTTGTTTGTAATAAATTATTATTTATATTATTATTGTTGTGAAAATAATTATGAGTATCTCCATATAATTTTAAAAGTATCATTTATATAATTTAAATAATTTCTTTAAAAAAATTTAAAAATTAAATTTTAAAATTAGGTAAATAAGTATGTAAGCTATTGGATCTAAAAGAGATTTTAAAGGGTCTGAAGTAGAGACCGGACACTAGGTGGTCGTAAGAGAATCAAGATCGAAATTTCAACAAAATTTTCTATTCGAGATCCCATCCCAGTCCGATCTATATTTTGAAGGGTCAAACCTGCTTTAGAAAATGCTTCACCGGAAGTCCGGGATTAGGAACTCAAATTGGATCCTTTTCCGGGCAGCTCAAAATTTCTGACCGGTGAAACACTAATGCTTAGGCTGTAGGACCCCTTGCACGTAAACAAAAAACAGAAAAATGTTAACTCCTGGAAAGGGTCCATTTATCCTTTATTTTGGTTTTCTGGGGGAAAATTGATATTTAAAACAACAGGAGAACAAGTAACGGATTCCTAAGAATTTCAAATTTTTTATTTACCTAAAATAATTTTAAAAAATAATTTAATTGAGTTTAAAATTTAATTTCATACGAAACTTAATGTTTAATTATTTTTTTCTGTTTTTCTATCAAAAAATTAGCAAGTTTTTGTTGGGAATGTGTGTGTTTCAATTCTAAATTAGGAGAGCATTCCTTAGTCTGTGATGCATATTTTATTTATTTTTTATTTTATTTTGAAAAAAGCTGACGGAAAAACAAAAGAAAAATAAAAATGAAAAGGAACGATAAGAAATTAACAACAAATAAATATTTTTTCAATACTAAATAAATTTATTTTAATTGGTTAAAAAAACAATAAAAATTATATTATAATTTATACGCTTTTATCAGTCACAAAATTCGAAAAAAAAGTCTTTGATCGAATATTTGAAAATAAATTTAAAAATAATTGTTACAAATATTAATTTACAAATTTTGGGTACTTCACCATACTGTTAAAAGAGTACTATAACTAATTGAGAATTGAGATTTTTAGAGATATCTAGAGAGCGAGATTTTCAAAAAACACTGACCTTGATCCTTGACCTTGGTTGCGTACCTTGACCAGATTCTTGACCTTGAGTCAAGGAAAAATCAAGGAATGCTGAAAAATGCCTTGATCTGGACTCTGGATCCAAAAAAAATCAAAGTCTGGATCCAGATCTAGCTCGCTCTCTAGAGATAACTCCTTTTTACTAACTCCTTTTTTCCGTGCTAAAAATGACAGGATTTGTCAACACTACCTTTAACTCGATTAAAAAATTATTATTTTTATCAGTCATAAAATTAGAAAAAAAGTCTTTGATCGTCTAATATTTGAAAATAAATTTAAAAATTTATTATTACAAAAATTTTGGTTCAATTTATTCGATTAATGCACCTTTTCTCAAACAATTAACAATAATTATTCAGGGTAATTATTCGAGCAGTTACGGTATTTATAGTAAATTTGCCAATTAAATTTAGCTATGGAACATAGTTTTTATTTTAAAAAAATTATTTTTAACTATTAAGGTCTGGATCCAGATCTAGCTCGCTCTCTAGCGATATCTAACTAACTCCTTTTTTCCGGTTTGATTTATTCGATTAATGCACCTTTTCTCGAACTTTCTGTTTTAAAGTAATTGAAAATTGTGGCATTATATCAAGGAAAAAAATTTTTCTGAATAATTAAATAATACAAATAAATAGGTAATTAAGTTACATACCTATATTAAAAAAATTTTTTTTAATAAATTTAAAAAAAGGAAACAATTTTTGGTTGGTTAAAAAAGATTAAAGACCAAAAAAGTTTTTTTTTCTTCCATAAAATTTCTCTTGGGAAAAGCTATTTTCTGTCAGTTTAAAGTAATTGAAAATTGTTTTAAATAGAAAAATCTCTTTACATCTTCCTTTTATTTTCCGTTGGGAATTTTTATAGAAAAAAATTTTTTTGTAAATTTAAAAGGAAGTACATAAATGTAAAAAAGAGTAAAGCACGAAAATAAATTTATTAAATAAAAATAAAAAAAATTTTCTTATCGATGAAGGTACTTTACGGAAAAATTTTTTGTTGCGGACATAATTAGCGGACAAAAATTTTTTGCGGATTCTTAACAAACCAAAATTTATGGAGAATGGATTTGCCAATAAAAATGTTCAACAAACTTTTAAGAAGCTGAATTTTACTTTCAAGATTAGAGCCCGGACTGGTAGAGTCGTACGAGAATCGAGAGCTTGTAAAATCTCAATCTCAATACTAGAGAGCTACGTTAGTTCTCCTATTCTGTGGTCAATACAAAAGACACCTCTGGGGTTGAAAAATAATCTGCGTATCTTAACTGTGAGATATCGCTTAAACTAGGAGGTATCTCATAGGTATAACTTCACTACGCAGTGGTGACCAATCTAATTTTAAGAAAGAGACATATCCTAAAGCGAGGTTATCTTAGAAATATTTAAAAATGATTTAAAAAACGTAGGTACCTAGCTTTAATTTAATTATACCTTTGAAATATTTAAAATGAAATTTTGCTGAATTTTAATAAAAAAAAGATTTTTTAAAATCTTTTTTTTAGGAAAAATAATTTTTATGTTTATTTATGTAAATTAAGTTATATATTTAAGTTATATATTTAAGTTATATATAAAAACTTATATATTTTATTATTTGATTGTGTTATGTATTTTTTAAGAAGGGAACAGCTAAAAAGGAGTAAAAAAAATTTTTTAGCTTAATCTTATTGTTAATAAATATTTTATAAGCTTGGGAAGGCATACACCTCACCGCCTACCCAATTTAATCCCAATACACTTCTCATCTATAAAAAATTCAAATCCCTTCATTTTTGGCATCGTTCGACTCCTTTCTTCAAAACGCATCGAATTATACCCATTTCAACGAGTTCCGACCATTTCCAGCTAGCTTACCGTCCCCGCGACTAGTACAAGTCGCGCCAAAGAGGGTGCTCCCCTCAGGGATTGGCATAAAGGGAGAGAATAACTTTGTGTGCCAATAAAGGAAAGGCGTAGGAGGTGAAGCAAAAAGGGACGAATTTTTGAGTAAAATACTATTAAAAAATGTCGATTGTATTGAAGAGATTGTTTGATTATTAAAACCCTTTAAGCGCTGTTCGATAACTAAAATTGAAGTATTTTATAAGAAAGGAAATGATGAATTAGAAAATGAAAAAAAATAATTTTGAGGTACTTGGGAAAGGACTAAATAAAGGATAAAAAAATTCCCTTAAACTTTAAAAAAAATATAAAAACAATAAAAAAAATAAATAAAAAATAAGAAAAAAACAGGAAAATCTAATTTAATTTATTTAAAACAAAAACAATAAAATAAAATAAAATTAAATTTGGAACAAAAAGGATTAAATTTATTTAAACATCAAAATAGAAAAAAGAGCAAAACAAAAAAATTAAATTTGTATCTTAAAATTATATGTTAAATGTAAAAAAAAATTTTTTTAAACAATAATTTAGGTAACTATTTGGTAAAGCGTGAACATAATTTTTGTCACGTTTAAGCATAGAGGCAAATACCTAAATTAGGTAACTGCTCGTTTGTTTGCCTTTCGCTTACTAAATTAGCTTTATGATCTTCACCATTCGTCTTTCGCTTTTTACAATCAGTTTCGGCACACCCGTGGGTGTGCCGAAATGTGTGTGCGTCACTATGTCACTTTGTGTCACTTCAACCGTGTCACTTTCTCAACATGTATTGAGAAAGAGTTTATCTATCAGGATTAGTATCAGGATTTGTAGAGAAAAAAAATCCAAACACATTGCCAGATTCAATTATTTAATAAATTTGAAGTAAAAATATAAGGCAAATGGTACAAAAAACAATAAAACCTAAAGACCGGACTGGAAGTGTTGTATGCGAATCGAAATCTCGAAAAATTCTCAATTTCGATAACCGAGATTTTTGATAGAGATCTCGTCTCGGTACGGTCTCTAATAAAAATTCTCAAAAATCACAAACAGAAAAAATAATTTAAACAAAAATTAAAACAGAAAAATAAAGGAAATCTCTTTGGAAACATAAATAAATGAATGTTTTGTTCTTATTTTTGTTTTTATGACTAATCTAATTTTTTACAAACATTTTTTGCCCTTTCTGAACGAGTCAGTAAATACAATGTGAATAATAAAAAATTTATTTTTAAAAAGTTTTGTTAAAAAAATTTTTTAAATTGAAAAAATAATTTTTATGA